AAACATTTCTTTTTTTATTTACCAAAATTGATTTATAGCTTTAATTATTGTGGTTTCCTAAAGAAAGAAGCACACAATGTAATGCTGATTCCAACAGTGACAACAGTTAAAATAGTAGAAATTATATGTGGTATAAAAAAAGGAAGCCTGTGTGTTAATGAGACACAAAAATACATGGACCTTTTCTTTGACCGCAGATCAAGATGAATGGCCAGAAGATTTCACGCTGTTACTTGAGAAATTACTACTTATATCTGTTCTCTTTGTGTTGTACATTAAAACGGGTCATTTGTTTGGTAACTGGTTAAACCAGAGAAGTTAACACCTCCACGTACCTCTGACGTTAGATATAACTGCCAGGAGGGAGCCAGTGTTTCTTTTTTTGCTATGGTAACCGAGGACGTATATTCAAAACATGCAGCCTCCTCCTCCTCCTCATCCTCCTCCTCCAGCAATTAAAAGCAGAACAATAACAATATTCACCAATGACAGCAGCGTCTGTACAGTAGTTATGCCCTTCGTTAGTTTCACAATGTTCCTCATGAATTAGTTAAGTCTGTTAATTGCACATTTATTACACTCAAGGCCACAGAGAGATACACTAAATGGCTACGGAATAAAAAAAACACTTGAACACATATAGGAATCATGAAAAATAAATTAAGCTTTTACATTACAGCTTAACCTGATGTGGCAAAAATAAGTTTTACAAATTAATTTTACTTGTTTTTTTGTTTATATTGGAAAATGGAAAAAGTAATTTACTCTAGTCTAAAAATATTGTTAATATTTATGTGTGCCTGATGAACAGGACTGAGTGAAAAATCATGGATTAATAAATATCAAATTCTAATTTTAGAAACTTTATTTTTAAGAAAAAAACTAACAGCTCCAATTATTCCAATATTTAGATTTGTCTCAAGTGCTTCCAAAACAACATGGTAACGATCATATTTCTTCAGAGACAAGAAAATAAGGCAAATATCACAATCATCCAGCAGCATAATCCCTTTGTGTTTACACTTTATCATCGCCTTTTCTGATCTCTGGCGTGTTTCATTATGGAGTGACGTTTGAGTGACACTGCGCCGGCTGTCACAGCCATGTGCTGAGGTTCCCTCTCATTTCCAGCACCAACAATAATAATGACTATTCTAGTGCTAGCCCCACTATTTGTGTTATTGTTGTGGGGTGTCAGACACGGGCCCTGACGTTTGCTGTGCTATCAGCAGGAGTGTACAAATACAAACACATTTGCCTGAGTTATTGACCTTTATCTCCCCACTTTCTTGACAGCCTTCTCCAGTTATTGACAATACAAACACATGGGACGACGCATAACCTTTCATTTACAGAGCACTCTCTCTCTCTTTTTGTCTCTCTCCCTCTCCCTTGCTCGTTCTTTCCCTCAGTCTGTGTCTCTCTGCTCTTGCAATTTGTTTAAATAAAATGGGGCAGACAATGGTACTGCTCATTTCTGCCATTTTTCTTTCACTCCAAATTTCAGAGGATAATATCATTAGACCGATACAATGGCTGCTATTCAGCCTTGGATACACAGATATTTCAAGTATTCAATATAGTTTTGACATGCTGACATTAGGGGAGAGTGTTGTTTCCCTATTTGTTTGCTTACAATGTCGATTCCGTCATAAATCTTAGATTCCTAAGCCAAGATGTTTGTCTTTATGATCTTCAAATTACCACACAAATATATACATATCAAAACAAGAATAATATGCACAAATAAAAATCCTGTTGAAAAACTAAATATTTGTTATCGTTGAAAAATAAAAATTTACAGTGTATATATGAAGCTTTTACATTTATGTTTTAACACATAGAAAAGTATATAGAGAGTAGTTTTATTTATGCAGAACGAGGAGCAACATAATTATTCTGAAAATGGGACTGAATCCATAAACCCATAATAAACAGAATAATTTACTGCATCTCAATACAGCGTTGAATAACAATGGTCATAAAAAACACTAGTATTCCACTAATGATTCTCCTCCAGGATTTATTATGTTTTTCAATGTGTGTCCTCTTGCATTTCAGTGTGAAAAATAGCATACATAAAATACGGGTGTCCCCACCAGTCAGCCCCTCTGCAGGTACTTCAGAGCCCCAAAATTAAATTTTAAACAATCCAGACCAGTGTTTGGTGACCATGGTTAATCATCAAGAAACAAAGACATCAAACAATATTTGATAATGAGAAAAATGCCTCCAGGATATTAGGGGATGGGGGGAGAGCACAGCGTGAGCCTCGGCAGCAGTGCTAGGTAGAGAGGCCAGACCAGACACAAGCCGCATTCACATGTCTGTGTGCGGTGACGGTGGGTGTCTCTGTGTGTGGGTCTGACACAAAAACCCACACACCCATGCACACATGCATCAACTTCTATCTCATGCACATACACACGTGCATGTATGTACACACACACACCTCTTATGGAGTTAAAAAGCCATTAAAACATTGCCTCTTTTTTAAAGTTCATGACGAGATAATTAGAATTCAGCGTATGGAGCCAGTGGTGAGATTACAGCTTTGTGAAATTGTGCTACATTTTGAACTTCACTGCATCACGCCTCAACCCAATTATCTGCAGTTAAAATGGCTTAGTGAGGCTCCAAACTGTGACTGACAAAAAATACAGACAAACCAAAAAAGTTTTCTTCAGAGATAAAAGTGATTATTTCCCCCAAATTTTCTGAAAGGCTAAAACAGCAAACTTCTATTTGATGTTTCATTCAAAACAAATATTATCACATTTGGATAATATTAATATATCTTAAAAGTAAATTCATAAACAGAAAAATTAAATGTTTAAATTAAAATATTAAAGTATTTCAGAACCACATAATTCTTAAAAAATAACTTTAGTAATACTTTCTTCTTTCAGAAATACGTGAAACAGAATGGTTCCATTTTTCATCAGGCCAGTGTAATTAGTGCTAACTAAAATAAGAAGTTGGGCAGACAGGGGAAGGTAGGGAGGGGAAGGAGTGTCGGGTAATGAGGAGAAAATTTCCCCCTCTTCCTCTGTCATAGTGTTATTGGGTTATCCTTGATTGACGCAATGTTAACAGTCTGGCCAAATCTAGGCAGATCCAGCAACCTAGTCCGAATGGCAGCATGTGCAGCCACCTCGGACATGCAAATTGCACCCGGGTAACCCGTTGACTATGATTAATGAGCTTGGGCTGCAGCCTTTGTTTCCGCGTGCAGCCGTTTAGAGTGAAATACAATCCCAAAATATTATCAATCCCCTATTAATCCAGTAAATTTGTTCACACTGCACATGTTGTTTTGAGCAATTTACAGCCAAATATGTATTTGTGTTTCTGTGTGTGCATGTGTGCGTGTGTTATGGGGGTGAGCACAATTGCATTTAATTACATGTCCTCTAATTAAATTCATTAAAGGATAATAAAATAAATGGAAGAAACAGCTTTGAAAGCTAGGGTGAAACACATGTGTCTTGTCTTCCGTGATGTAAAATATGGATGTGGGATTTTCAGGGGCAGTCATGCTGTTCAGGGGGGAATGCATGAATCCGATACCTTGCTAATACTACAGGCATTTCCTGGTTATGGCTTGCCTCATGTTTAAACTGTGAATTTTAGAGCTGAGATCCCAGACTCCCTGAAGATTGGGGAGCAATTCTGTGGTGCAGAGGAGTGAAGTCACTGACTTCACAAATGGAAAAAAAAGAAACATTATGACAGTAATGCTGACATTCTAGTGTAACAAAATGCTCTGTCTGTACGGTGAGTAATATCCCTGGGTATGGTAAGGAGGGACTAATGTGTAAGACATGGGAGGACTTGCAATTTCCTTAAACTGTGTGATGAGTAAAGGAAATTACACAACCTCACAAATCTTAAATTCATCGACTGAAGATGCTGTCGATAAAAAAACATTTTTCACACACACAAACACATTTTCTCCCGTGCACAGCCACGCACTTTCCCTCTGCTGCAAGCAAAATGTAAATGTTTTCCAGGCATTAAGGTATATAAGTGCCATTAGTGGCACGGTGCTTAGCACTACAATGGTGTGCCGAAAGCAGTGGAGCAGAGATCAGTGCAGCATCTCCTGGATATCAGAGGGAGACATCCTTTGTAAATTCATCTCCCACTGTGAGCAGGCTTCACAGCTGGTTAACGGCACTGTGTGTACCACTGCCCTGTTTACACGCAGCCTCCAAAGCACTCGTCTTTCCCCCTGCATCCTTTCCCTGTATCCCCTCCATCGCCTTGCTCTCTCCTTCAGCTCTCATCACAGCCCACTGTGGCTCTCATAGCCATCAAAGATGCACACAAACTGATTTGTGTGTGCGCACACAGCACGAGCAGACACCTACACACAACAAAATCTCTGATCCCCTCGCTTTTGGGGCCATTACAGTACACTGGCTTCCAACCCTTTCTCTGATTTTTATCTTTTTATACCATCACATTACACTGATCCTTTTATACCTATTACACACACGGCTCCCCACCAAACCCCCTGATCCTCTGATACCTAGATGAGTAAACTGCTCCTCCTGCCCCTGACCTCAGCCCTTTGTAGCAATCAGACCAGACTTCCTCAGAGGCCCTGATCTTATCTGGCCATACCAATCCCACTACACAGCTCCCTTTTGTAGCCACCACAGAGCACTGAGCCCTTTCAGACCCAGGGACTGTGCCGGTGAACACACAGCCCGAGACCTCAGCTCATCTCAGACATCATACTACACTGCCCAACAACAATGAGCTCTATTTTCTGATGCACCACAGGTCAGATAGAGCCTTTCTGCTCACCAATGCATTGTTCACCCACAACGGAGGAAACCAGCAATGTTCATGTCAAAGGAATAGACCATAGAATTATTTGATATTGTCAAAGGCTGGCAGACAATAATGTCAATTTGTCATCATTTGATTGATTTTTTAAAGGCTAATTATTAGGCTACTTATATGACTTAATATGAAAATATTAAACTCACCATGAAATGTCTTTGAGACTTCCCTGCATCTGTGTGTAAAGAGAGAACGTTAAAGAGAAAATCTATTAGGGTAGAGTGAGGTTTAGCACTGTTCAGAGACTAATTACACAATAATTGTAAAATTATATTGATCTCAGGGGATGTATTTGACAAATTAGGGCTTAAAGATTTTAGTCCTATCTCAGTGTCAAATCAACCCTCCAGAACATGAAGCAATCATATGGTGCAGAAGGAAATAATGAAACAAAATAAATCATTAATTAACTATTGACTATTTTTCCACATATATCAGTTTCCATTTGCAACTACTAGATAGGTATTTCTATTGAAATTCAAGCAGTTTGGAGTTACACATGTTAGAACTGTAGACAGTGCAAACATGTATCCTTTAAATTCAACATTATTCTTGTATGTTTTACAAATCACCTAAGCCTCTTCTACTACAGTACTGTCATCCTCGATCTTATTCACATATTTCTGCCGGGGGCATTTAAAGCATGCCCTCAGTGGTGAGGTGAAAGGCAGTGATGATTCTGGGGGGCCCATGGCTGAGGATGGCCCACAAAAATCCCTGCAGGTTGTAGGAAATAATTAAGAAAAGCCCAAACCAATATTCTCTCAGGGGGTGTGTGGCAGAATTCCTGTCTACGCCCATGATTCAACCACTGCACAGGAGAAAGAATACAGTAGGCTATATATTACATATTAATGATGTCACTGCAGGTTAACTATATGTCTTACATGTAAACTTACATGGAAGCTCCAAAATACCCTGTAGGTGTAATATTATAAAATTAAATGAATGATGAAAACACTGTTTTAACTGGGCATCTATCTTAATATGCACACGCACGCACAGAACTAACAGTTATATATTGTGAAATCACAGACACAGTAATTGTGTAAGCTGTATTTATACTGTACTTCACATACGCACTCAGACAGACGCTCTCTTCTCTGTGCCCCTGTTTCTGTCTCACTCTCTCTCTCTCTCTCTCTTCCTCTCCACAATACAACACCCCTCCATACAGTTTAATCGTTTTCATTTTATTCTTTACTCGGTCGGACTTTTCGACGAGTGTTGCATGAGAGCTTAAGTCTATTCATTTTAATGTACCTGTCTTCGTATCGCTGGCATTTGACGAGGATCCAGTGACGCTTCGGAGTTGCCGAGAGTGAGCAGCTCGTCTTAGCCGGACACCGCCTTCGTGTTGCCAAGTAGCCAATCAGCTGCTGGTATACTCAGCTCCATGGATGAATCGACCAATCAGCGCCTTGCTCACACAAAAGTCACCTCTTCAACTTCCTAGCGGGAAGCCGCTACCGGGAACTGTCCACAGCAGCAGGAATCAATGGTAAACAACCCGTTTTACGTGTTATGTATTGTTCTACAGTCATTTTTAACATTGTGCTCCTTATGATGGTATTCAGTAGTCCTTCGTATATGAGGCAACATGTTTTCTTTCATGCTATGCGTTTAGTGTGTCACGTTAGGCGTAACATAAAGCTAAGTTTGGTTAGCAGTGTAGGTACAGCTGTTTTTGACAGCTGTCAAATCAGATTGCTACAGTAGCAGCCGGTAATCACAGCCTCTTCCTCTCTCTCTCTCTCTCTTTCTCTTTGTACAGATAGATACAGCAGCTAATCAAAGCAAGATGAGACTCTCCCGAGCCGAATATAAAGAGATAGTGAGGTGGATTGAACAACTGAGACCTACCCGCCAATGTATGAAGATGCTGAAGGAAAGATTTCCGAAGTAAGTTGGTGTACACACTGGACAAATGCCAGTGTATTGTGTGCAGCTGTTGTGTGTTTATGTACGACAGTGGGTGAAAACGCCATGCTACTGTGCATGCGCATCTTCTACCAAACTGCACATTGTTATGATGTCTGAAATGCACAATGCAAAATGAATTTAGGTTATAATTTATATACATGAGAGCAAGTTAAGTTAAATCCAATGATTACTTCATCATCTGTCTATCAACTCCCCACGGCAGCATCATTTTATCCGTGTCTCTCTTTTTAAATCTCATATTATTAGATATGTATAACCCCATTTAATTACTTGTTATGATCACTAATTCCACACAGGTTTCTGTGTAGGCTTCCACCACAGCATAAGCAGCGTTTTGCCATGCAGCGCCTGCGCATCAGAAATCGAAGAGAGAGGTTAATGGTTGTGTTTGCCTTTCTCCTTGACACTGAGGGCCCTCACTTTATTGAACGTAACATGTGTAATCCCCCAAGGCCACCAGGACACCATGGCTGATCCCGTTGAGGTCACTTACAAAGTCGTATGTATTTGGAGCTTCCTACTTCCATTGTGCCCTAATCACCAATCTAGAAGAAGGTATCAAGTCCCCAAAGGGGACACAGTGGAGCTTGAGCTTGCTTTTGTTCTCACTGTCAGCATTTTACCGAATATGTCATGCGTATAACGTTCATCCAATATCCTGTATGTTTAGGCACCAACACTAGGAGGTCCTTTTCATGTTTATTTTAAGTTTCCTTTCCCCTTTTGGTTTCCTAATCCAAACTGTCTTTAACAAACAGTCCAAACGCCAGTTTTTCAAAAAGTGGTACTGTTGGGTGTAATAATTAAAGGAAAACATTGGACGGTTTTCATTCCAATAATTCTACACGATCTCTCTCTCCCGGAGGTGCTGGCTCTTTTGTTTAGTCTTGCTGGTTATTGTTATTATTTCGTTCACCATAACCAATCTTGGGGAGGCCCTTGCTCTTTAAAATCCCTGAGTCTCGTCACCAGGCCTGACAGACAGGCACGGCAGCAGTGTTTTCACAGCCTGCGAAATTATTCTGGTTGTCCAATCAGCTGAGCTGGGCTCTGGAGGGTTAGTGATTGGACTGGCAGGAAATCAGGCTCTTAAGACATAACATATCGACTAGGCCATCCATCATCTCTTAGCATGCGCTCAGGCACGGCAGTCAGCCACCCCCGCCCCACATCCCTCCTGTCCCCTCGGACTGTGTGGGAGCCCTGCCACTGCGTAAATATTGGCCAGGCTGGGGCTGGCAGAGGAGGGGGTTGGAGGGGGGTTAGCGGTTTGTTGTGGACAAGCCTGCACTGAGGGGATGGGCAAAAGATTGGTTGGGTTATAATAGTGAGAGAGATAGAAAAGACAGGTATCTCAGGATATCAAATCATTTCACATTGCAGTGGGTGATTTCCAAATGATGCAAGCAATGTTGAATGAACTGTAGATTCATGTGTAGTCTAGCAGTGTCATGGAAGAGGTTGTAGTAGTTTTTTAGGGGCATGTGCCATATTTTTATTGCAGAGGACAGGGCTATTATTTTGTTCAGATAATTTTATCATATATAAAATATTACTTTTTATATTTTTATGCAAACTTTTTGCAAATTTCTGAGCAAATTATAATTAAAAGGTAATACTGATAAGTATTATTACATGTGTAAAGACTTTTCTGTAGAACTGTGGAATAATTTTCAGCAATTTTCATAAAATTTTCTTATCTACTGATATCAATCTTTCTTGGAATTAAAAAAATATTATAATGATTTGAGTTCCAGTGATGTAGATAAATAGAAATAGCCTTTATCCTCAAATCTCTGAATGCTGTATTGAGTTCAAAACCATTTCATAATCATTGCCTTTGATTGTGGACTTAAGGGGAGGAAAAATTTAACTTTGAACAAAATCATTGTTATTGCTCATTTCAAGGTAATTTGCACGGAAAGTCTGTCAGTCTTTCTGTCGTACTATGAGCAGGGCTTGTGGGAGGAGAGAGGGAGTGTCCCATAGACAGACAGAAAGAGAGAGATTGCGATGTGGAGTCCCTCATCTGTAACGGCTGCATAACACAGATGTTGGGAGTCATCTGTCAGCCTGGCCTCTCTTGCCGGGCCCGAGCTGCTCTGGGGGGAAAAGAATTGGACACGGTGCTGTCACTTTTTACCCCCACTCACAATGGAGGGACATGCAAATATCAACCCCCATTCCTGCCCTCTCTTCCTTGCCCTCGTCTTAGCCAGCCGTGGTGTCCTGCCTAGTATCTGGACCGCAGCTAGGCAGCGAGGGGGGGCGGGAGGGCTCATCGCAGGCCGGTGCAGGGGGGAAATGTGACATCAGTCCCATCACGTCCTTCTCTTGCCACGTATTAGAATTGGAAATGATGGGCTGCTCTCTGAGGCCTTGCCTGGCTTCCCTTGGGTCTAGAGGGGACCCCAGTCCTTCCACTCTTTGTCCCCAGAGAGAGTCTGTGGAAGGAGGGCGAGAAAAAGAGGGAGGGAATGTGAGAGTCCTCTGTGTCCTTCTGTGCTATATTATGAATGAATTTGGATGTAATGATTGCCCCCCTCTTTAAAATGCCATTCAGCTCACTCCTCATATGGCTTTCACAGTCATGGAAGTAGGAGGGTGTGCAGAAAGGGGCAGATGCCTCTGTTTTGGAAAATGCTTAAAAGTAAAGTGTGAAGCATCCCTCCCCTCTAAACACAGGCACTGCCTCTATCTTTTTAACTCACACACGCACACACACACACACACACACACACACACAGCTCCCTGGTGAGGAGTCCCTGAACGTTTTTCGAATCGGGCCCTAATGTGCCGTTTTCATCAGCACTGAGGCGGGCTGCAATATGGTGCTGGGGCTCGCTCTGGGAATATGAATGTTGATTAAGCATGCGTTCAGCCTTTTGAAATTCTGAAGAAGTGTCAGAATAATGGATGTTGAGCAAATGTCAAGCATTTGTTAATTTCTCTGTTATTTGGGGTTTATCTAGCGTGATCTCTGGAAAGAAAGCGCGGGACAGGGTTGTTGTGGCATGTGCCATTGATATGGTGATTTCTTGGCTACAGACACTTTGTTTTTGATGTTAATATCTAGGCTCAGGATGTAGCTTAGGGACTTGCTCATTGATTATTTATTGTGGCTGTATTGTTTATCTTTTTTTTTACATCCTGGTTAAACCTAAGGATTTGGTAACAGGCAAGATGCATTAAACTGTTAAGCTCTTAATACATTTAGTGTATTTTTGTGTAGAGCGGGATTTGGGATTTCTTTTACAATTGCTTTTTGTTCACGCCCAAAAATACCCCAACCATCTTTATTGAAGGGCTACACAATTAATTTAAATATTATCGAAATCACAATATGGCCAATATGCCAATCGCAGAAGCTAAACTGTTTGATAAAACAGCATTATGAAATACATACGGTAGTTCTGAAGAGATGCCCTGGCCTACAAATCTTGTTCTCCAGATTTAACACGTTTGGTACAGACCCCAACAAATGTCACATCATGATCGTTTTAATAGTTTTTTTCAGTGAAAATTGTGACGCAAAAATGATAATTCCAACACTAATCATGAATCATATCACAATCGCAATATCTGTCAAAATAACCACAACATGATGTTTTGAGCATATCATGCAGCCCTACTTTATTGATGTATTAGTCCATTTAGTAATCTGAAAATTCACTTTCTTTTTGTTGTCGTTGAACACATACTTTTTTATAAGGTGAAAGGGGATCTAAAGACATACTACCCACTCATAACTCACAACTCAAGTTTTAAATATATAAAATGTATAAACAGTGTTCGTGCTTATGTCACAGTTGGAGTGTTTCTAGATTAAACTGTGATTTCCACCATTGTATATGTGGAATCAACTGAGTTGCTCTGTCGAAGCTCTTGTGAAGGTAGAATTCTACAGCTATTTTGTACCCTGGAAGTGGCAATGACATTACCCAGAGACTGATCTAGTGCAGAGCCTGTGGGGGCAGCCCCAACGGCCTCCATTGCACAGCCTCACACTTCTGGCTGCCCATATTGAACAAAACACAAACTGGCAGTTGGGGCTTAGGGGTACAACCCATGGAAGGCTGAGAGGCTGGCAAACTAATTCCACAGCTTTATGTGGTTAGATGAGCATTGGAAGGGTGAAGGGATGAATGAAGTGTAAGCAGAGAAGAGAGCTGTAGAAAGAAGAGAAGCTCTGCTGAGTTTACAACTTCATGTCAGGCTAAGGAGTTCATGAATAATAGATGCAATCAATTACTTGATTAGGAAGCACAGGAATGACTACTTCCTCTTGATATCTTAGGGACGTTGTCCAAGCACATTCTATACATTGTAAAGGCTTTTCGGCTCATTGGGCCAAAAACACTGAGGTAAGCAGCCTGTTGCTTAAGTAAGGCGTAGCAATTATAAGAGACAGTATCTTGAAAGATAGAAACTGTCGTCATTGGATTGCTAGACAGAATAAGATGTTAATATTAGTAGAGGCAAATTATTGACACAGGAATATCAGCTTTTGTGAGTAAGACCAACATATTGTACCAATGTTGTCCCTCAACCCCCAAAGCCATAAACACACAGAAGGAAACCTACAGCATAGCGTACCATAGTTCAGCAGGGATGCTATGGTAGAGTCTCTTGCCCCAGGTTCTCTTTGCATACTGGGATCAATTGCAAAAGAAGAATGAAACAAATTGCCCAGAATGGTACAAGTTCCCCAGCCACGCTTGGGGGAGTAGGCAATTGGTCAGTGTAATGTGTTTCTTTGCCAGACCAGTGGACGCTCGCCACTTGACAGATAACATGGACCTCATTTTCAGTTTCCACAAGAGTTTTCAAAGGCAGCGATGACAATAATTACACTATAACAATGACAACGCACCATAATAGTTTTAACATGTTTTGTCACAGACAGAGTCATGAAGATCCCTAGCTTTCAGGAGGAATCACAATTAGGGTGGTGATTGCGGGGTATTTCTCGCTCTTTTTGCCACCATTATATAACAGTTCTGACATCTTGGTGCACCTCAGTAGACAGAAATTTTAAAGATTGTAATAAAGTGAACAGGGCTGTGTAGGGGTCATATTTTTCATCTATTAGGACAATAGTAGGCAGTGAGATGCCCCGTTGTGCTTCTGCTAAAGCCATTTCTGTCCACAGTCCCCCGCAGGCTTGTAGTTTTGTATGGCCTTCTGCAGAGAGACGATGGGGGGGTGACTATCAGTAAATGTAGTGGAATGTACTCTGAGTCAGGCTTGGGGGAAAAAATAGGGGGGGAAAAAACATTGAGAATATAGTGATACCTTTGATTTGTTATACTTAACATGCTAACCGATGAAATAAATAAATAATAATAATAAAAATGTAAGTAATGATACACTTCTGCAACTACAGGAAATACCATATGTGACTGCTGTCGCATTGATTGTAATAGGAAGAAGGCTTTACAGTTGTTTTGCAAGAAAAAAAAACTAAAACTAATTTGAACTGTAAACACGTGTGCTCATTGTGCAAGTATTTGTTTGAAGCTGCATGACACACTGAGATTTGTGTTTGTTTCTATCTCTTGTCAAAATATATCACATTTATACATTAACGAATAAAGTTTTTTTTTTTTTTGGTACACATTTGTTTTGCTGCTGATGACGGTAGGCTTAGCTGAGAAACAGATGTTAGCATTTTGCCTATCAGCATGTGTAATTAGCAGCATTTGCATATCCAGAGTGTTTAACCCACATTCAACTGTTTTTTTTTACTTTATAAAATATTGATCGATTGGAAAGAAAGTGCTTAATATATTATTGTCAGCACTCTTGCTTGAATAAAATCCTTAGATGAGACACGAATCCTAACTAGGCTAGGAAAGCATCGGCTAATAATTACAGTAATAGAGGTGTGGATAGCAATAGAACAACGTATTAACACTAAGCAATATTTTCATACATTTTGTAAGGGTGAATCATTTCATCCATGTCATTCCCTTTTCAAAATAGCTTAATCGCCATTAGTAAAAATATGTGCTATGCCTCAATTAGCCAGATCCATGCCCTGAAGAGTCGCACCATGTAATACTCTCTGCATGCAGATACACCAAATGCTAAGTACTGTGGCAGCATATGATACCAATGCCATTAGCCAGGTGGCTTTCATTACCTAAATTACAGCTATTGTTTATAATTAATTATTTGTAAATAGGAAGATTCTGAATATAATTGATAGCTTGAATTTCCCCCATCTCCTATTAATTAGGTTGATGGGAATTTCTAGGCGTTTCACTGCTGTTTTTCCATGTATGCTTAAGACACTGATACACTGTGAATGCACTAGGAGATAAGGCAATTCAACACTCAAACATGAATTTGTCAGATTCATAACCAGTGGATAGCCTAACTTAATAGAGCCTAAAGCACTGACCAGACAGGCATACCAGCTCAGTGACAAAGTGAAAGTCCCTAATTGTTTTTAATTTAATCTGCTGCTTTACTATTTTGGGTGCCAGTGCATATTAATGCTCTGTCTTATGTTGTAAGGAAGGGTAATTAGGTTGAGAGTGAATGATTCCCTAACCACTCTTCTGTCTCCCAACCTTCTGTTTCCCCATGTTCCAAATTATATCCAAGAGGGAGAGATTTTTTATTTTTTTTCTTCTTGCATAAAGGTCAATGTAAGGATGTGCTGCAGTGTCACAGACTCTTTTTGAAGTGAATTTTTAAATACGTTCATTGTTTGTTTGCTTTTAAAACATTTTAATAACCGAACCGACAGACCTCTAATTAATAAAATATGAATATGTAATCAATTAGGCTAAGTAAGTAGGATAGAGATAGATTAACTTCAATGTTTACATAAATCTTATTTTTTAGGATTAACTCTAAGAAGAAATATGTCTGATGTGTCAATTATTTTAAATAAGTGACATCAATATAAAAATCTTGTTGTCATATCATAACATAATAATCCTTCTGCTGTGTTCAGCATGTGCACACATCTGAATAAAATACTGCTCATTAGCTTTGTTTAAAGCCAAAAACAACAGAGAGAAATTAATCTGGTTTTGGAATAGTTCTTGTATCAGTTTATTTATTTTTTATAACCACAGAGATAGTAGTCCCTCAAATATTGGTATTGTGAGGTATTACGGTGATAATGTAATGCTACTGTGCAGCGGGCAGATTAGATCCACATTGTAAGACTGCACTTGGCTCCATATTTTAGCATGAAGTGAGCATACTGTGCCCAAGAGAGCACAGGTTGGATATACATTAATGTTCACCCCGCAATAACTTACTATTAATGCCTGTTAAATGGAAAAAGGGCATTATGCTGTATGAGCGCAGTGTAAAACTTGACAGACTCTATAAAACGCAGACAACTGTTGGTTTGGATCCAGGTACCTGCCCCCATCTCTTTACATTGCTCTCATTATTTTTATCTTTTTACAAATTTTACAATGTTGGGTCTTGCTTCAGTATTTTTAGTTGTAGTTTCAGTTATTTTCAGCTTTTTGAGGCATTTTGTCCAGTTTTGATGTCGGCAAAAATCGTTCAGGTAAAAAAAGAAAAAGAAAAGTCCCTAAAGTTCTTAGTGTTTTTGAAACAGATATGTTTTCCCACATATTCAGAGCAGTTTATGTCCCTTTAAAGTTAACAGGGTATAGATTTAGCAATTAGGCAGTAATCATGCTTATTATAGAGAGTAATCCATTTAAAACCTAACAGATGTCTGTTCCAACAGGGGGATCGTGATGGTCCCATGCCAACAATAAGGCTGTAATGTTGTTGAAATGCTCAGGTGCAAGGTTGAAGTGTGGAAGAAATTTTTTTTCTTCCCTTAAGTGTCCACATGTTGACAGTTGACCATTTAATGGCCCACTTAATTGCAGTGGCCCCTTTGTCCCTAAGCATCATTGTAAATGAATGCTGAGGTGGCAGTGTTTCTTTCTGAGAGTTTCCCTCTCTTCTCTTTATTTCAAACATTTGTTCCTTCACTTTTATGACTGTAAGTTTGTGGTTGACGAGACTCATCTATGTGATGCGTCGAGCCCCAGAGAGTTTGAATAGTTGAGAATTAGCTGATCTCCAGCCAGAGCAGTAAAACAGTTTAAAACTGGCATCTGGAGAACCCAAGATGACGTCTTTGGTGGGGTAAGTCATTATAAACTGCTAAACTATTCCAGTGGTTGAAATGCTTTTCTTAAGATATGGTCACAGACTGAGACTCCAGACAGAAATCAATGTTTGAGATTCCTTTGGCTTTGTTTACATGTCACATGGTTATTTCATGGTTTATAGTGATTGATGTCCAAGGCCTATGTGGACTCAATATTTCAATGCAGATTGGAAGCCTCAGCTTCTCGTCAGTATTTACATACCACTCTCAGGTGACTTGTAACGAAAAGTCCATTAAATTTAACAATCAAGTGTACTGAGAGCGGTATATTGAGACACAAAACCACTGGAGACTATCACAGAGCAGTTTGTGTGTGTGTGTGTGTGTGTGTGTGTGTGTGTGTGTGTGTGTATATTATATATATATATAATGTCTGTGTGTACATGCTTCTACTGTATTTGTGTGGGTTTTTTTATTGATATGCAGGGTGTAGGTATGTATCATCCAATTAGAATAATATCTGTCACCGCTTTAAATATCTTCAACTCAAAGGATGCTGTGGGGGTTGGGGAGGAGTACCGAAGGGGCTGCGAGTCCCTGTTGGAGCTGCCTGTTTTCCAGGTTTGCCTCTCTGCCAGGTGTTTGACATTGACTGGAGCTGGAGATGAATGTAACTTATGGCAACCCATGGAATTGACCGACTCCTGGGAGTCCAGCTTCCTGCAGTGAAAGTTTCCATTTTCAAAGCCCATCAGTTGCAGTGGGAGGGCTCCAGAACGGCCCATATGCCAGCATTGACAGTGAAGCAAGAAAACTTTCTCCTATGTGTGTATTGCTACACCGCTCACACAATCAAGTACACACACTCAGTGGTCAAGCACTTTGCAAAGAGACATCCAAACCAAGAAACGTAATCGTTAACGCTGTGCTTCGCTCTCTCAGTTGGACTTGAATCCTATCAATTATCTGCATGAATGTCATTAATTTCTTTCCGATTTTGTCATGTTTAGTTTGTCTATGAGTGAGTGTTCTTGCCTTTGTGTAGTTTTACAACAGCAGAAACTGCACTTCAATTAAGAACAATTTAGCTTTCAGCACTCTTGCTGGAGAGAATGGGGATAGAAGAAGATGGTATGTATGAATGAGTGAAAGGGGAAAAAAAGCAGGCTATATTTTTCTCATCTCTCATACCACACACAACCTCCCCCTTTCTCCCACCCCCACGCCATCGTGGCAGGAATCCTTTGTCAGAGGTGTTCATCTGGAACAACTTTGCCACACTTGTTTTCATGTTCTTTTAGATTACAGGGCAGCTGGCCCCAGCTTTGAAGCTCCCCCTCTCCCTTTGTCTCTGTGCAATGCACTCTGGTAATTAACTTTGTCCTTCTTTTATTTGTTCCAGTCACTCGCAGTCCACTCTTCTGAGCATCTTCTCCCTGGAGTACCAGGTTAGAAGTTTTCTTCCTTTGTGAGCCCTGACAGGTGCCTAATTGAATGATGAATGTCCCTTTATTTCTTTGTAATTGAACTGCCAGCTCTCTGATTGGTTTGGAGGATGCCCCCCCACCATACCCCCGTTTATTTCACCCCACCTCATCTCCACCCCCTCCTCCTCCTCACGTTCACGTTGAGGGCCCTTGCCTGCCTGAGCCTCAGTGGATGTCTGCCAAGCCTTCCCATCCATCTGTCTAATAACATCTAGCCCCTGCTTATTTGGTGGACCTGTAATAAATTATGCTAAACCATTATTATTCTGACAATAATAATTTCCCCGTGTAGTGCGGCTGCGTGTGCTAAATGTTTGCTGACTCGCACTGTCACTGCTGCTTTCCACGGCTGACAGCGGATGATGATAAATGGCCGCTGCCGCCAGTGGCAGAAGGCAGCACAGGCAGAAAATGGAGTCATTTATCATCCCCCTGACAGGTGTCAGTCACACTGCCTGTCTCTGTGGAATTACATTTTTTGTGTGTAGTAGTTTTTAAATAAGTTGTTTTTTAACCAATGCTCGTCCTCTCTTATCCCCTGTCCTCCTCCTTCTCTCTGAAGATTGCAATTGAATTGCATGGAAATGTCAGGGTGTGGAATGTGGAATAGGGTCATTGTTTGATCGAAAAAGGGGAAATGAATACAAGGTTTGAGTGAGGGAGGTGGGAGGGAATAGGGGGTTTGAACAAGGTTGCCTTGCACACTTTGACCCCCAGCAAACTTATTGAAATTAAATTACTCTACCCCAAGATCTCCTGCGCTTGTTGATATACAATAGAGCATGAAAGAAGAGCAGAAGCTGAACAAGTCTGCATTTTATTAAGGAGGATTGGAAAAATGTAAAGCCTTTGCCTTTTAATGAACTGTATTGTATGGAAATAAATTACCTTTGGTGGTTTAATAATAATTATAATGATGACAATATTATTATTATAATAATAATAATAATAATAATAATAATAATAATTGTTGTTATTACATCTGTGTCCTTTTTGTGACAGAAACGAACCAAAAGAACATTCTCAAGACACCATGCACCAGATGCTATTGAAAGCCACTACCAAAGGTGCTGTATTATTCTGTATTGTTTTACTTTATTGCTCTCTTCTGTCTACCACTCTTGTGTGCTCTTTGTCTTCCCCGTTCTCTGACTGAGGAAAGGACTTGCCAAAGTCCCCTTCCTCAGTCAGAGAGTAGGTGGGCCACCATGACAGATATAATCTCCTCCAAACAAATCACCACCCGCAGGATTCATTCCAGACCTCCACTTGCACCTGCTAAGCTAAAGCTCTGTTCTCCATGTCAAATTGAAAGCAGAAAAATAAATAAATAACCAGCCTTTGGACATTTGCCTTACACAGGCTTATGATGGTATGATTATCTGTAATTCAATGAATAAGGATAAATTAAAAAAAAGAAAAACAGGCTGTAGGGGGGAAGCCTCTTTGCATATTGCAATTAGCCTTTATCTAGCTTATTAGGCCATTGTTCTGGGGAAAACAAGGCCGGATAATGCACTTCTAATCCACTTACAACAACAAACCTCAGAGATGATCTGGGTAAGATCTGAGGGGAGCTGCAGTTTTAGCTGGCGAGGGAAAAAAGGCTTTTTGGGCGGCAGGGGTTAACTAACTATCATATGCTTGTCTGGCTTCAAGGAAATTTGAAGCCCTTCAAGCAGTGCTGTTTTAACCGCACTGAGCCTGCCATATGCCACCTAGGGCAAAGTCATCAGGGACATTAGCATGTCTTGGCTAGCCCAGTCTAGTCCCCTCTACCCTTCTGTCTGCCTTTGTGGGCCATGTTTTTTTTCACTGCTGTTGTTGTTCTTTGTTATAATAAAGGTATCTGAGTGAAGCCAAGGCACATCCCACTGCTCCCGTCCTGCTGGAGTTGGCCATTGAGGTAATGGCATAACCTTTAGTTTTTCTCTTTATTTATTTTTTTTCTTATCTTTGGGGAAAAAACCCTTTTTCTCTAAATGACTAGGTCAACGTTAGCTGCAGTTCTAGATTTTCTCCCTTGTCTGTTAGTCATTATCAAAATTGGTAAAACGGTCCGCTCCATTATCAATTATTTAATGTAATTAGCTCTCACCTCCATTAAGCAGATGTGAAAATACTTTTTGTGTTTTATCATGTAATTTTCCAAATTGCACTTCAGGCAGTGTTGCCACAAACTGCGGACAGGTGAGGGCAGGGTCATTGGTTAATTCTTCTCTTCATCACTTCATCGCTTGTTTACTTTAGGGGGTCAATGTAGGATTTGTCCTCTGGTTGATGCAGCAAATGGTATTCATACATATAATTATGTGAGAACTTAAATCCAAGTTATTCAGGTGGTGGATGTTTGTGCGTTTGTTCTATAATCGCCTCATGCTTTAAGCACTTAAATTATTAACAGGACCAAATGTCTATATTTCAGGTTGGTACTGAAGAATCAACCGACAGTTCCCTGCTCAAGCAGCAAAAGCAGCTAATGTGGCTAAACTACTATAGAAGAAAGCAATACATTGTAGATCATCACACTATTTTACATGCATGCTACTACTATACTGATGTTTTTTCGCTTCTTAATTTATTTATTTATTTTTGTCATTTGAATACATTGTTAGTCTTGCAGTTTCCTCTTATTTTGATTGTTAGAATAGGCTGCGTAACGTTTTAAAATATTTAAATGCACATTTAAATTTTTATTGGTGCTTACATCAGACAACGAGATTTGAGGGTTTCTTAATCTAAAATCAGAGTAGTTCACATGCATCAGTGGCACCTCAAAGCTAACTGCCATTATTCATTCTCCATTTAATTGACACATGATTTTTTTTTCTCCAAAGGATTAAATTCAGCTCAGAGATAACTGTCTATGAACCATTTAACTGTCATTTTAATATGCTACTTAACATTTAAACCAAGCACTCATGGTCTCCCAGACCGCTAATTGATGTAGTTTCATCCCTTTATGAGACAATATATCTCCAACAGAGGGAAATGATTAACAATGATGAAAACTATTCATGGATTTCTATTTTTGCCCCTAGAAGTCTTCCATGAATGAGGGTTCTAAACTCGACATTTGCTGTTTTTTTGCATGCTTTATATGGAGCTTTATGTAAAGGTTACTTAAACACACAGGGTTTTGAGCTGGTGCAGTTATTCTGTACTGTATGTCACACCCATTAGCTTTTGGGACTAATAAAACCAGTTTTACTGAACAATAATTGTTTTTTACAGGAATTCAAGCTTCTGTGAATCTTAGTTACATGTTAAACACATGAAGCGCTGCGGTCTGACTTTAGAATGGAGATGGACTCATGATTAATATGAAAATTAGGGAGACGCAAGTACCTGAACTAATCAGGTGGTCCTTATTCAGGCTGGGCCAGCATTGGTAATGTTGCCATTTTTCATTTGTCAGCCGTGATGCAAGTTACCAGGAATCTGATGCTCTCTCGTTATCCAAAGGTGTGAATGGTGAGCAGGCCAATAAGCACAAAGAGGAAAGGATTGAGAGGAGACAAGAAAGGGAGAGGAAATGAGAAGGGATAGGGAGAGGGAAGAGAGCTTCTTCAGCTGCAAGCCACAAATGCTAAGTCGGAAAAGCTATCAGAGGTCTTAATGAAGATACAAACTCTGTTCACCCCTTAATTATTATAGACATGTTTGGCCTTTTTACAAGCTGCCTTCTTAGTGCAATATTATGGAGATGTTAACAAATACTACTGCGGGTAAAAAGACATTGTTTAGAGAGAAGCTTCTCTGCTCCCAGCGTTACCAGGAAGCATCAGAGAAAAGATGAAACACACCATTCTCACTATAGGCTGAGGGCAAATTCACTTTTGGTACCCAATTATGCTAACAAGAGAAAAAATGTTTGGCTCCAAGAACGTTGTGTTTCATAACGAGCTGGCTAGGAATGGCAGTCTTCAAGCAATGTTTTAATTCCCTTCATACTGAAGAGGCTGTGAAATTTAGTAATGAATGACTTAATGTGTCTTCTTATTTACAGTGTATATATTGTTTAATATCGGATACAAAACTTTGAATTTGCTCCATATGCCTGGTTTAGCTTATTTATAAGAACATTTTGGGCCTTTTTTTTTTATAGATGATGCCTGTTAACTGGAGTCAATAATTGTAATATTCTGCTGGCCCTGAAAATAAGTGTTGGTTTTTCATTGCATACCATTCTAACACTTTCATGATAATATTATTTATAATGTGTGGAAAGACGGTGCGCTGATAAGAATGTGGTCCGATACACACCTTCAGTATCAGTCATTAGTGCTCCCTTACCTGTCAGGGCTTCTCCCTGCCCTCAAACCAAAAACATTGCACACCTCTCAAGGTGTCTTTGTGTTCAAAGAGTTCTGCAGCCATAGGTTCTATTCTTCCTATTAAGGACTGCATTCCCACAGTCCCTCCGGTGTGTCCTGTTGGTTCCTGCAGTTTTGCCTTGGTGATCATCCTATGATTAAAGCTCTCCATTGTGTCTAGCCTGGGCATAGTGTGTGCCGCTTTTTCATACGAGATGAGAGGCTATGGTCGTCCGTTTGACAGAGGCGAAGGCAATTCAGCTGGGTAGCTTGGCTGCGTAATAGGCGATCCCTTGTTCCTGTGGGAAAGGTTATTGCAAAGCAAGGCTTTCAAAGACCAATTTGCACAGGGATTGTCGAAAGTTGGGTCAAGGTTTGGGAACGCAATAATATCATTTAGAGCTATTACAATCATTATTATCTGTGTGACATCAGCCAAAGGTAGACTGGCCGTGTAATTTCAATGCTGTAATTCTTAGGCTCTTTGAAATATGTTCGCACTTCCAACTGGATATGCGGGATTTAGTCTGAAGGTTTGTAAATGGAGTAATTCTCCAGAGAGAAATAACAGGTCCACTGTACCTATTTTTTTAAGTAGCTTTTACTCTCCATAGCCTGTTTTTTATTAAGGCAAATTCTTTCTTTTTTTGTTGCTCAATCTATGTAAAGGTGGATCTGTCTCCTGCACTGATGGCTCGCATCATCCTGGACAGGTTCCTTCAGGGCTTGGAGGGTGGAATGCGTGAGTAACACTTTTCCATTTCCCACTCTGTCCTTTCTATCATTCCCCCCATCAGTCTTAATTGTAACACTTTGTCTTTTGAATCCCTTTCTGTTTGAGTCCCAGTTCCAGTTCTAGCTGCTGTATTTTCAGCCTGTCCAAGCCTAATGAGAGACAGACCACATTTAGTAGTAGCTGCATCTTAGGGCACATGACTGGCAATTAAGCACTAGGAGGACCACCCACCTCTCAACTGCAGTGTGGATCAATGCTAGCTCACCTCATCAGTGTTATTTATAACACTCCTTATTTCTTTCCTCGCCCTCCTTCATCCCCCCAATGCATCCACCCCCTTTCTCTTCTTCCCTCATCTCCTTCTCTTTCTCCGTCCCTACTGGGGTCCTGTGAGGAAACTGAGTTGAGGAAAAGTGTAGCAGAAAAAGCAAACCATTCCTAGGTAACGCTGATGGACATGCTGTGGGAAGAAAAAGAATTCCAGATGCAAATATTTTTGCTTAACATTTCAAAGAGATCGTCCAGAAATTGTGGTATTATTTGTCCATGCACATTCCAGTTAATTTCTTCTTTTCATCCTTTCAGGAACTTTTTTTTACATTATCTTCTGTAATATTTTTTGGCACAAATGCTGGCATAATTTGCAGTTACGCCTTTTAACGTGTGACATTTGGAATTCATACAAGAAACCCTTTCTTTCTCTCACACGCTTTTTTTTTTCTCACTCGGGAACTCCCATATCCCATGCACACATGGCTCCATATCATTTCAATAGGGCAGGCCTATCCTGAAGATGGTGTGTGTGTCTTTGCTGTAGTCTTTGAGAGTGAATCGCATGATGTCAAAAAGACGTGCTTCCAATTTAATCAAGAAAGAGATTAAAGTGGATGTGTGTTATTTTCAACTTCGCCACAGCACAGCCATTTGTCAAAGTCAAAGATGTGATTGCTTTGGACCCACCGTTATCCACTGCCTGTCAAAATACTAGTCTGAGCAGCTTGTAGAACAGAGCATTCATCCAGGAGAAGCACTCCGTCTCAGATAATAGCGAACTGCATCCCTCCATCTCCATACAGTGAAAACATGCTTTATTATTGATCAGAATAGATTTGTAGCAGATGAAACTTCCTGGATGATCGTTGTTTAATTTCAAAACAGTGCTGTAACCGTGCCGTATCTCAGTGTTTGCAGGCTAGCGAGTAATGTCGTGGTCGTGGTTCTTCTTGTAGGGAGTGATTTCACAGAAGCTAGATGGCTTTTACAGGATAATCACTGATCCGAATCAGCCTAACATAGCCTACATGCTGTGACAAAACACTATGATTTAGATCAGATTGATATCTACTATTTTATCTGGTAAAATAGTTTGACTGTTATCTGCTATATGAGTATGACACATTTTCAAATGATGATGCCATTTCTACTGTACCTTTCCACTCTTGCCAGCTGTAGGGTCAGTTGCTTTGAGGGTGACTTCTGTTTTGACAGAGCTCCTCTGCAGTGTCCTCATGACCTGCTTGGCCTTTGCAAATGAATTGCTGCCCACATGGACTGCACGGTCAAATTGTCCAATCTCCCTGTGTGTATATTAGACTCCAGTAATGTGCTGCCATTATGAAACAATGCAAGGATAATTGTCTTTGCTGGCAATTAGCTAACAGGTTGGTTCAGTGCTATTGTCAGGCATATCCGTCATGGCCCCCTCCAGCTCCAGACTGCGCTTCAGTGTGCATGTGTGTGTATTTGTGTGTTTTTGTCGGACTCCAGAGGGAGGCCGGGCAGGCACACTGCAAAGATCAATAGACTTCTATATAAGGGACATTACCCCCAACTGGGTGAGTGGCTTGCCTTTGCCTAGCACCATCGTTTTTTTATTCCCCTTCTCTTTCCCTTTGCATTTAAGAGACACAGGAATGGGGCCTTTGGGACTGTGGAATATATGTACAATCACTAGTACTGGATCAATACAGAGTTTTAAATTGTTTTCTGTCCCTTCCTTGTTTTGTTTTGCTTGCTTGTTGTTGCGCCCCCTCCCTCCCTCCCTCCCCCCTTCCCTCCATCCCTCCCTCCCTCCCTCCTTCCTTCCCACTAGCTACACACACCACCACCACACCTCAACATGACGACACCACCAACAAGCTGCCTCCGCCCTCTCCTTGCAGCAAAGGTATTGGAGGGAGCATCAGTCAAGCAGAATGAAAGACTATCTGGTGGTGCTTGTAAATAAATCAATACATTCAAAGCAGTTTTATCACGTATTGAATATGATATCAACATCCATAATGCTGCTTGTCTCATGAAAACAGACCAGGCAGTAGGGTAGGAAAGGTCACATACACTTTTACACCGTTTATATCCACTATTTTAAGGTCACTAGGAGTTGCACTTAATGTGATTTTTGGTGAAAATACAGCATTCTGGACCAGTTGAGACAGTTTCAATGGATATTTCAGAATTCCTTCCAGGATTGTTGGTTGTTCCAGAGATGTCACAAATAAGGGACATGAATCTAACAATTAAGATTATAAGGCACTGTATGAAAATATTGGATTTGATAACAATGAAATAGAAACACAATTAGGGCAGCAAAACATTTATTTTCATTACAGTTAAATCTATCCAAGTGATGTCATAAAATGGCTTATTTTCTTGTCTTCAAATTGCTTATAAAACATGTTGCACACATTATAAATATGTTTATAAATATAAATATATTGTTTCACTCTTTAAGTTTTAAATTTAATTTTATAAAAGAAACAATAGTATTTAAGTCTTAAGTCTTAAATACTATTGCATTTGAAAGGCTGAAAAAAAACAATGTTGTTTTTACTTATTATCAAAACAAAATACTTTAAAGTGATTATTGAAAACTGAATTGATATTAGTGAAATGCAAAAAAGTCAGTCAGTCATCGAAATAATGACGCAATTGTAGAAACTGTCTCTCATGATGTAGTAACCTACATCATGTGCTCACGCTACTTGTTTCAGGCCACTTTAAGTTCTGTAAATGATGCAGTTATATTGTAAACAGCCGTATTGTAATTCCAACTCTGTGTTTCTATGTCGGTAGATATTACCTCTTAGAAGTCACTAGCAGGCACATTGGGGGAGCTCCAGCTCCTACTTTCCCCCTCCTGCTATCTCTTCATCTTGCTCTCTATTCCTCCTTTGACAGGGTTTGATGTGCCTCTAGATTTAGACATACTTTTTTGAGGAGGCAATTTTGCTAGCTATTTGACCTTTTTCATTTTCCCAAGGCCCAGCTCCAGATTAGATTGCTGCTCCATGTTTTGTAACTATGTGATTCGACCGCCTTTAAGATTTATTGTCACATTCCTTTACAGAAGCCTTGTACGCAAGGTTATAAATGTCCTGTGTTTGATGTTAACACTGTGAGAATGTTAGCGTCTACTATGATCCTTTGGTTCCTTGACAGAATTCATAATAGCTTCAGTGTTTTGCAGATCAGACGTGTTGATAACTGAATATTGTATTATGTTCTATCCAGTAAAATCTCAACTTTCACTGTGATTGTTATGGTTCCTCCTCTCTTGTCTTCAAGTGCTACTCTCTTCTCTCTCTCTCACCTCTCCACTGTGTTGGAGCTGGTGTGTATATGCAGCCTCTTTTTCAAATAATGAGAGCAAGGGCACTTCATTAGCAAGAAGGGAGGGAGTAAGGAGGCAAAGGCAGGATGAGTGTTTCTGTGCGCGTGTGTGTATGCATGCAAGGGGTGGGTGCAAGGAGGTAAGCAGCAGCGTGGCACTTCACTTGACAAGTATACTAATTACTCCTTTTCAGCAGAGAAGCTCCAGTCAGCCTCTGCCACAGTCTAATGGCCTGACCTAGGAAGCCTCTCTCCATGGCAGAGCCTCCCCAGATCTACTATTACTACTGCTACACACACACACACACACACACACACACACACACACACACACACACACACACACACACACACAGAAATGTAGAGTCTCATCTCACTGCTATCAGGGAGAATCAGGTGGAAGCAGATCAGTTCTGCCCCAGTAACCTCTTCAGGGACTGGGCTCCTCCTGCACAGGAGATACCACCTCATATCATCAACTAGCACCTACACACCACCACACATTTTTCTCTCTCTCTCTCTCTCTCTCTGTGTATCTCTCTCTCTCTTTCTTTCTCTCTCTCTCTCTCTCTCTCTCTCTCTCTCTCTCTCTCTCTCTCTCTCTCTCCCCCCCAATCTTCTGTTTTTTTCAATACGGGAGGATAAATTTAAAAGGAGTAAATTGGAAAATCAAATGAGGGCTTTAGGCAGCAGCAGAGATTTGCAGAGCTGTCGGCCAGCGTCGCAGAGCCTCATCCATCATGTCCCACAAGTAGTCAATTCCTCTAGTATCTGTAAATGTTTTCAGATATTAGCCAATTTATATGCTCCGAGATTCATCATGGAAAATCAGCTTTAGCGGCGCACATTATCAGGACCTGTCTCTCCCTTGCTCCATGAAGTTTGATGAACGAGTGCCCCTCCACAGCTCAATGGCTTGTGCATGGGGAGGGGGGGGGGGCATATAGAGGAAATGTGTAAGCATCCCCCTCACCCTCCTCACCTCCCCTCCCCTCCCCTCCCCAGTCGTGGAAAAAAGTGGGTTTTTTAATTAATAAACAAACTTGCAGTGGAGCTCATCAGTGTCAGGGGCAATAACAATCGTCATCCGTTATTGTTTATTACGGCCCTCCCTCAACAAATGTTGCTATCTAATGAGGTTTCTCAACATTTTTTGCGTTTGAGATAATGACTTTTTCACCCTAGCGGAGAAAGGAAGAGTAGTTACAAATGACACAAGTAAGCAGTGAGGAATCAAGCCAAGGTTATGTCGCTGTTACCTTGCCTTATATAGTTTATCTTGTTTTGGAGTTGCATATGAAAACAGGCTTGTGATTTGTTTACACTGGTTGTTTTCTTTAGCAAATCCCAATGGAGGCGTAGCGTTTCACATCTATTATTCTCCTCTTCTCTGTTCTTTCTGTTCAGATGTTGACGGTGTGATATGGTGCCTTAGTCAGAATTTATACCAACATGGGACAATTACAGTAAATTTGGTGAATGTTTACAAGGTGCAAAGTCGTGCTGCAGGGCTTTGTTCTCTGTGTCTGGTGTTCTTCAGATTATGCTTTTTATTTTCCTGCACGTGTTTTATGTGTGCGTCTGTGTGTGCCTTGAGTGTGTGTATTTAAAGAGCATGATGTGTGTGTGTGTGGCAGAGAGGAGCTCAGGGTGTCATAGAGGAGTGCTGCCGTGCAAGGCGGGGGCGTCTTTAATAAATGTATGCTGATGTTGGAGGCTGCAACGATGCGAGGGATGCAAGGGCCCTGTTGTTATTTACTGCTGTGTTTGTGCACAGCAGCGAATCCTGGGCCTGCAAATGGCATTACTGGCCGTGATGAATGAGCATTAGGGTAAACTCATTTTAAAAGCATCCTGATTTATTAGCGGCCTGGCCTTCCATTTTCATCAGGTCAATGCTTGGCTGAAATTCCACAATGTCAGCGCCAAGGTCACCTCTTTATGGCTATTTTTAACCCCATCGCTCAAAAAGAGCAGGGGAAAGGGATCCTATCACTTATTATGGCCATCTACCAAAAATATCAAGGGTCTGGAGAGACGAGGAGAGAAAGGGAGAAAAGCCTAGTCCTGGAAGTGGGTGTTTGTGTGTGTTATGTGAGAGAGACCAAAATGTGGTGGTGGTCAACCTCCAATTATGAGTGCTAGTAAGACAAGAGCTTTAATGGCTACCGTTTGCCTTCGGGGAGGTTTATTACACACTACTGTTTTGCAGAAGCAGCGTCAAATCTATAAAACGACCATTAGGAAGAGGGAAAAAATCAATCAAAATGCCATTAAAGTGGAATAAGTTGCCAATATTGCTGATGTGGTTGCGGGTCCTTTGATTTTCCTTCAGATTATTAGGCACAGTCGAGTAGTGACTTTGTTAAGGGAAACCAGTGTTGTTGGGGAGTAATATGTCTCCTGGCTTCATAAAGTTTGCTGCCTCATATTTCCCGCTTTATTGATTATCCATTATCATTTGTCATGAGGTGTCCTAACTCAAGGGGAAAATATAACCCTCTTTCTTCACTGCCGCCCGCACTGCACAGGAGCATGGTATGGATCTGCGTGTGAAGGTACCAATCTCTGAGAAAAATGAGCAAAGAAATAAAGCACAGCCCTGTGCCTTGCAGCTCTAAGAGGGTGTGCGAGGTTATGGGGTGGGCTGGGGGAGTACCGTGACTGGGGGAGACTGAAACAGAGAGGAGGTAGCACAAAAAAAAAAAAAAAAAAGGTGGCAGAGAAAGATGGAGACAAAGAAGAAGAAACAGAAAGAGAGGAGGGAGTGCTGAATGGGCTTTGTTCTTCTCCACCATCCTCCCTCTTTATTTCATCATAAGGTAGATGAGGGATCACAGCACTGTTTGTCCTCTGTGATAGTTTTCTCAAGGAGTAATGCCTATGAACAAATGCAAAGGGGAAGACAAGACAGAAAGGAAGGGTTAAGGGTTTTTAAATGTTCTTCTAAATCCTTTTCTATTAATGAACTTCATTTAACAGACGCTTAATGATCCAGTCAGTGTTTGTAAATGTATACCCAGGTTTTTTCCAATTGATCTTTTTTTATTCTGGGGTTTTTATGCCCCCTTTTTTTTAATCAATTTTTATAAATATTTAAATAAGCTGTCTTGTTTTTAACAGTTACATACTTTGCTTTTTTTTTTTTTTTTTTTTTTTTTCTTCGGTTTCTAGATGAGCTTAGGAACCTCTGTTCAGTGTTGGTACAGTCACCATCCATGCCTGAAATGTGAATAGAAACATTCCTTGTATTGTCTGTAATACCGCAAGTCTGTCAGGACCATGTATCACTAAAATGGCGTGCCTCAACCATTTCGTCACACAATGATACAATCCATTTAATCCAAATCTTTTTAAGAAATGATTTAAGGAATTTTTTGCTGTTGCAGTGCCAGCGAATCAATCCAGCAGGCTCTCCTTTCTGATTTATAATGTTAGTAGAGCGAGAATGGGGATGAGAGATGCAGAATAGTCAGCGTTCATAACATAGATAAACTACATGGGGCTCCTGTGCTCTGGACTGAAACATTTATCTATAGAAAATCTGTATAGACACCAAGCAGCCATCTAATGGACTAGTGTGGAAATACTGCACTAACAGTGGCATGGTGAATTACAGTATGTCAAGCCTGTCTTTTTGTCTGTATATGTTCCTAGTTTGCTCTCAATTCAAGGTAGCAATTAATTTTTTTAAAAACATTTATAGGTTATACAAGCTATAGTGTTTGATATTATTTGAATACTAATATTAATATGATTTTTGTTTTTTGTTTCTCTCCATGTCTTGCCTTTCTGTCTCGTTCTCAGCTTCTAAAACAGTCCTAAACAGCATGCTTAAGGAGCCGTCTTTAATTCCAGACCAAATTTTGGCCAATAACATCTACCAAGTAAGTGTTTTAACATTTAAATTTGAGCTGAAATATTACAGGAAATCATTTAAATTGTGTGCTGTCATGGAAAGATATATTTTTAATTACTTCAATTACATTTTCTAGAATTTTATAAAGTTTGTTGCCCTACCCTTTTCCATGTAACAAATCTAGTGCTTATGTACAGTGAGTTTTTAAGTGTTATTGTACCACCTGGCTGACAGACGGCATCAGCCGCTCATGTTTGCTGATGAGGTCACGTGAGAGCCGGCGGTCATGCCTGCCAATCTGCCAGCATCTCCTGTGTTTTCTCCTTTCCCGGCACTGTATGGGCTTCCTTCCCTCACCTCCCTTCCACCCACCCACCCTTTTCGCACGCCATAATATTTCTTCCCCCTCTTTTCAGTGCACAATAAATGACTGCTGTTATGGACCGCTGGTAGACTGCATCAAACAGTATCCTATCCCATAAAATTTTAAGCCTGAAATTGACGAGAAGCTATTGAAGGGGATGAGATGTGTCTGGCTTCACCTGACATAAAAGTTCTGCTTCACAGAGGAAGTGTTTCATCCTGCCTGCCATTGCACTATCACCGATACAGAGGCTGGAAGGTGATGGAGGGAAGAGGAGGAGGAAAGGATAGGCTGATCTAAATGCATCTCCATGTGCACAAAGTGGATCAGACCCAATGTTCTATAGTACAAGAAAGAAATGATCGTTAATAAGCCTTGTGGTGGCTAATGTGTTCTTTCGTATGGTTTTTTATTCACCCAGATGATTGTTTTTTTATGTTAATTTTAAAAAAAATCAATTATTCTTACATGCAGAATTTTAAAATCCTTTTTAGCTGGATTTTATTCTGAGAATTTATATACGATAATTCAGCACCACGGAGAGTTCTGGACACGTCAGTCCAACTTGAACTCTTAATGCTCAATTACTTTTATTTATTTATTTTTAATTCAATCAATCAGTTGTACTTGTGTTTTCCTTCCCTGTCTTGTCTAACAAATACCCCCTCCTTGTTTAGCAGGGGCTTGGCCTTGACTATAGGGGCAGAATTTCGAGTCCAGGCTATTTAGGGGCAAGCAGCTGGGTGGCAGACCAACTATTTCCTGGGGGAGGAGACTTATTTGAATGAGTGTACATGTGTATGTCTGTATGTTATTGTGTCCGTCCAAGCTTTCGTGTGTAGTGGGGCTGAGTCGTTCTGTTCATGGCCAGTCAACCCTGTCCCATCCTGTCCCCCTTCCACATCCCCCCTTTTTACCTTTCTTTGGTTGTCCTCTTGTCAGTGTCAACTTAGAGTCAGTTACTCCACCACAGAGAGTTCATGATAACCGCCCCACTACTATGTGCTTTGAAAAAGCTCCATCCTCACATGAAAGGAATAGCTTTTAATGCATTTGTGCCAATAATATGTATGTATTAATTAGAATCCATTTTGCTTGATTAGTGTTTGTTAAAGGCATTATAATGCCATAAGGACTTTTCTCTCTGTCTGGGGAAAAGCATGTTTGGCATATATAACATCAGGCCTCTAATTGCAGCATTCCTTTCTGTAGAAATCAAGCTGCTTGCATCCTGATGCAAAATGGCATTTATTTTAAAAGCATTTTTCTTGAAGGATTTTAGAAGAATGAGTGGAGCAGCTAGTCCAGGCGCTCTTTGCATTTTGCCAAATTGGCATTTGTTTCATCTTCCTCATTTAGGTAATGCACTCTGAAGATTTGTTGTGAAAGCAGATTAAGGTTGACCTGAAAACTCTGATTGTGCTCTCACTATACACTGGTAAAAGAGAAGAGGCTTTCACTTTGCATAGTAAGCCAATAGTGGAGGGGAAAAAAATGATTCTTAACTTTGACTGATGCCAAACTTACACATGCACAAATGAGCTAACATCACCTCACATCTGTGCACTCATGTTGTTACCACAAATTTTACAAGGAAAATGCCTAATTTTATTCCTGCAGAATTTTTATGAGAATTTCTTTTGTGTTCTTATTATTTTTGGACTTGGATTTCATTTAACATTATTGCTCCTGCTGAGACCACCCTACGAAAGACCACACTGTTCCAGTAGTTGTATAATAAATACTGCTGTTGCAACATGTTGGAATCCTTGACTCTATATTCTCAGCGCTATCGGCCAAGAGCATGAGGTCCTGCTTCGCGACAAACTGAAGGAGAGGAACCTTTCCTTTCTAGGTAAGCCATTTCCTGACCTTCTCATCCCATTTCTAAAGTCATGGCAGTATTGCCTTTTTTTGTACGCTTAGTAAAGGAAGGCATGGACATGACTGATGCAGTGGATGTTATCTCCTATTGATTTGTTAACAACAAGGAGCTGTTATCATATATCCTTGGATATATATATATATATATATATATATATATATGCACCAGCATACAATGAATATTTAAAGAATAAAAGCTTTAAAGGTAGGTCTTAATGTTACATTAGTTGTAATGTTTGGTCCTCTTAGGTTACTGTTCAGTTTTCGTTTTGTTTCTATTTCTATAAAAATTAATATTATGTTAGTACCATTAAGGGGATATGACTGCAAATACTGTTTTCTAAGTATTTTGGGAGATTTAATGTTGAGGGGAAAAAAACCTTATATGTGGTTGTAATTTCCAGTATCTTTTTGTGATAATAAGATTGTTCTCCTAATATCTTCTTCTTTCTAACACCATTGTCTTTTTCCAACAATATTAAATCAAGGTAGAGTGTCCAGGTGTGAAATTGTAAAACAGAATTTTTTAACCCTCCCTTCCTACCATCACCCCCATCCTATCACCATCCCCTAGGTCAGATGAGTGATGAAGGGTAAAAGTCATTCCCTCTGCCATTAAGACCATATCATTTATTTGGACCTGGAGTGCTGACCTTTCCTCAGAGCTGTATAGAGGACTGTTCTAAAACTGTCAGAGTTCGGGCGGCACAAGGGCCACTGAGGCAGCCTCACCCCATCTGATAAATGGATTGGAAATAAGCCACCCAACAGCAGGGATGGCCCATTAATTTTAATCAAAGGTGATGTAAAAAGGCGATCAGGGCCACATGACAATGTCAACAGCCTAGTAGGTATGAATATAGGCTCCCATCCTCCCACATACACATCTACACCCACATTACCACACCAAGGATGCCCCTCTGTACCACAGGCCTTTGGCAGCTTCACTGACCTCACTCCACTCTCTTTCTCCCCCCTTGGCTGATGCTACCTCTTCACCACCACTGACACCGCCACCCTCCATCTCTCCTCCGTTCCCTTCCATGCCCCATTAGTTGAGCTTGGCTGGAGACAAAGAGGCAGGCCCTTGGAACTGAATGACCTGGTCAGCCTGAGATTTAATGGAGAAATCAGGTGTTGTAGGGATAATGGCCGAAGCGCACCAGAAGTCAAGGACAATGGCTGCGGCCTGTGCAGGCAGGGGTCAGGCTTACAGAGTCTATAATGCCAACCCTGTCCCCTTGCTGTATATTTTATAATGCTCTGCCAAACCACAAACTGGAGAGCAGCTCTGTAACTGGACTTTACAGGTTTTTGTGCAACGACAGCGAATACGTGGCAGATGTAGTTAATGGTTTTACTGTGCTTGCTGTCCTCTACTGTTATTTCTTCTTTGCTAACACTAAGGGGTTTTGTTACCACCACCTTGGTGAGGTTGCCTGCTTCTGATTGATGTTACAGAACTTGTTCAGTGAAGAGTAAAATTATTGCAAATTCTGTACTTTATCTCCTGTAGATGAAAACCAACTGAGAACTATGGGCTACGACAAAACACCTGATATCATCTTGGAGGTTCCCATTGGTTAGTATTTACATTACACGTGTCAATATTTAATCTGAAATAACTGCCTGTTAGTCTTAGCTGCCTTGTTTCAAAGAGGAATATGCAGTTGTCAAAACATTGTCATGTTAATGCCAATCTTGTGTGGCTTTTTTGTCACTGTTTTCCTGGGTGTTGCTGTGTGTTTCTGTTTCTGAAAAGCTGTGGAAGGACACATTGTACACTGGATTGAGAGCAAAGCCTCATTTGGAGATGACCACAGTCATCGAACCTATTTGAACGAACAGTTCTGGAGCTACTGGAACAGGTGAGTCATCTAAATCAACCATATAACGTTGCAGCTCATATTTTCCCAGTTTGTGTATTGTTTTAACTTCTCCTTTTTAACCACTAACCACAATGAGTTTTTTGTTTTTGTTTTTTCTTTGAGCGTATACCTTTCTAACAATGCTAACCACTTCCTTCCTGGCATAGGCCACACTAACCCAACACTTCCATATTGTACATCACAGTACTTCCACATCCACCCCTGTCATTGGAACCTTCTACAGCCTGTGTGGGTGACTGTTTTCCAGAGTACACATATTGTTTTTGAAGGGAAGCTGGAAAATGGGTGATTAATCCATTGCATCTGTTGTCATGAGAACCTTTGAACAGGAACGGGCCCTTGTGCTCTGATCCGGGAACAGAGGTGTGTGTATGTGTGTGCATATGAATGTGTGTGTCTCAATGCTAGAAATGAAAGAGATGCTAAAAATACATACTTATTTAATTATTTTTAAAGAGAGCATTTCTTTATCTAGATTGTTTTTCCTAACCACAGGTAATTCTATCTTTATTTAATTTTGTTTCTCATCACAAGGTTGCTATACAGTTATGATCTGTCATCAATATTCCATTTCTTAGTTTAAAAGCTGAAAAAGTGCTATAGTGTCCCTGCCACTGAATGAATTGGATAGGTCTTGCATACACTCTCTCTATCAAATGGCTGCAAAATTAGCTAGGTCATACCATGTGTCATCAGCCATTATCCAAATCATTTAGCACAATACTCAGTGTTATAGGCTTCATTCCAAACTGAAGTAATCAGGTAGTGCGACTATTGTGTTGTGGCACACACAAGAGTAGGGGTCACCCGCACACGGTCTCCCCATCCCTGCCTCCCAACAAGGTTCCAGTCACCAAGTTGAAAAGTCGGCCACACTGCTTTCATTCGCCTCGCTACAGCCCTGGCCCCCCTCAACTATGGCGTCCAGCTGACATGTTGTGACATGGTGCTGGAGCGCCGGGAGGTTCCAGACCTCAGGTCAGCACAGCCAGACTCTATCTTTGTTTTTGTTTTCTTGGTGCATGTACAGTAGTTCAGATCAGGATCAGATTTCTGGATCTATAAAGACCACAACACAGAAAGAGAAGCTGTTTATCATGAATTAATTTTCATGTGTGTTTTTTTAATGCATTGTTCCCTGACCTAAAACAGTCCTTCTATTGTCTGCCTGAGATTAGATAAAAAAAATACTTTCGGTTTTCCCTGATATAGATAACCAATATCCATTCAAAATAGCTTGTTATTTTTTATTTTGCAATTGTAGCATACAATATGCAAACTAACTTGGTAGTACACATTTATTTCTATTGATAGCCCCTTCACTCTCAACAAATAATGTAAATTGAATCTGTATTTTAAGCACTAACTTCTAAAACAGTTTTTTTTTTTAAATGCAAGGACTTGTAGTTTTTTTTTATGTGCAAAATGAAAGGAAAGTGATGCTTCCATATTCAGAAAATGTTCCCCCTGCCTTTAGACGACTGACTTACTGATTTCACTCAGCAGCTGCCAGCAGAACAATCATTTGATTTTCAAGGAAGATGACTCATCCAATATCACTGAGCAGTTAAAATGCAGGAGATGAGGTCAAGGTCATAATCAATGGTGTGTTTTATTTTCTCAGAGTAACAAGGTTTTATTTGGAAATAGCCTGCTTCCAGAAGAAAAAGCTTTGTCTTTTTTTTCTTTTTTTTTTTTTACTATTGATGACGTCAGGAACTAAAAGTCACTGAGGTGTGAATTTAAAAAGGCCCAACAATCTGGTTACCATCTTTTTTAGGCCTCATTAAATGTCGCTAAGATAGTTGGTGACAATAAAAGGCTTTGCTTAAGGTCTAGAACATTCCTAGACTTTGTTTGATGAGAAAGTATTTACATGATTGCTGTCTCAGTCAGTCCAACTTTAGATGATGTGAAAACAGCTCATTTTATCAGCACCACAGGCAGCATGACATGGAGATCAGATGTCTCCATAAATAATTCACTGAGTAAGTCAATTTTTTTTCTTTGTTTGGATTGAAGAAAGTGGCATTAATCTGTCTTTGGTCTTCCTCTTTGGTACTCGTGGCACTGGTTTACAGTAGGTCAAAATATCAGAATACTAACAGGCTGATTGGACGGTTAGGGTTAGTCTGAGCCTTACATATTTGCCCACGGGTGTCTTTCATTGATATTCACTGGGGTGGCCTTGTCTGTGCGTATTAAGGAACTGACAAAGTAGATCCTGTCATGTCAGCCAGCAGCCCTGGTCAGATAAACATTGTTGTGTCAAAAAAGAAAAAATGTCAGTCCCTTTAGACCCTACCTTTTCCAGCACCCTTGTAATTTTTAATTGACATTTACTGCTGACATTTGAAAATGTGCCTCATCTTTCTCTTATTGTTAGACCTCATGCATTACCGTCTGGGTGCGTGTGCCCATGTGCATGTTTGTTTGAGTTTGTAAAGTGAAAGGCAGTGAATTTTGGGTCAGCACTTTGTAGTCGCAAAAACATAAAGCAATAGAGAAATGGGGGACAAGAGAGTGATGGGGTGACATCATCCTCCTTTCACTTCTCATTAGTTGCATTCGGTTCATGAGACGAGCCTGGAAGGGTTGATGTTTAGGGTGTTTGTCCATTCCTTCATTTCTCGAACTCAAACTCTAAACCTTTGGGTTTTCTTTTTGACTGCCCTTGGAATGGCACTGCAGTGTTTGTAATTACTTCATTGCCCCTGATTGACATTTCCAGTGATTTGCTTATTTTTCATCCGTCTTTGCTTTAACTGAGCTGCTACACCCATTGCTTGTGTTAATTGTTCTTGGTTTGCCCTCAAGCATTGCAGAGTGAGCTATGGGGACATGTTTTTGTAGACGGAAAGAAAAAACATAACTAATTTTCCCTCTAAAGCCCTCACCAACTGCATTTATCATCCAAACAATAGTCTTGCCAACACACTAACCCCATAATGAACCCCTCTTCAGTGGAGTGAGGGGTAATGACGCTTCACCTACAATGCTCCAAAGAAAAAAGATAAAAGGGGGGAAAAAATGGAGAGAAAAACGGTCTCCTGCAGAATCAAACGGGGTGTTCAGGCCCAGTGCCTGGATGAGATGGCAAAGCAGCAGCTATTGGTGTCTTCCAGCCATCAATCTTAGCTGGTGGCGTTCCAGAGCCAGCGAGCCCTCTGCTCTGACGGATGTTCAGATAATTGAGTTATCCATCTCGCCCAACTATCAGAGTTGCATAAAAATTATTCACCTGCTGGTGAATATTAAACACATAATGAGCCTCTTGTGTGTTTTAGGAGAAGTGGGTAAGGTTAAACACAGCATGTAATGAAATATGGACCCTTGTGTTTTGCCACCTTAACTGCCCCTCCTTGATTATGGTGTACTTAAATCAATTATGGTTGGCAAAGTTCCTTCCATAATTCTCTCAGCAGCAACTAAAGTTCTGCCCTTGTGCATGTCTGATTAGTTTATCTTATCAAATACATAATTCAGAACACATTCAGATAACAACAATTATTTGCTGACTTGTCCTGCATATTTGTGCACATGTGTGTTTGTGTATTTGTGTTTTTGTAATTGCTTATTGCAAATTATATCCATGTTACTGTTGTGGTCCCTGTGAGTTTTTTTTTTACTTAATATGTTGTTGTCAGTCTGTGGAGTCCTTTTGTAAAAGCAGTGTATCTGGAATGAAGGACAAAAGACACTAGGGAAGTTTTGATACTTGATGGATGGATAAATAGATGGATCTATAGATAAATGATTGGTCCTCATTGTCAGGAGAACGTGTATCACACGTTGGACGTGTTTGTCCAAAAAATACTAAACAAAAATCAGTCAAAACATTAACACCACATCAAAGCACAGTTACAAAGAAACATCTGACAAAAATGGCTACAAGGGTACCTCTTAAATTGATATAATGCTTATCATTTATTTTTTTATTTGTCTAGTCTTTGCTCATTTCATAGTCTCACTGCATCTCTTTTCTGAGAGAGTCCACTCATTATTAGTTTGTCAGATTATGAGGGATCTTTGTGGCTCTTAATTGCCCTCCATACAGCAGTTCTGTACCATGAAAGAATCAATAGTCTAAATCAGAATATACTGTTTACCACAAAATAGCTTTTCAGCAACAAAACTACTTTGCACTGTGGTATAAACAGATTAAAAAAGAAAATCTAGAGTTGAAGAAATAGATTCAGAGTCCGTTCTTCTTTTTGCTGTTTCCTATTTTCCCTCCCCCATTCCACCCAATCCAACACAATGGACAGCCTGTGTGGAAATGAGCGTAGACGCCAGCGTGCCCCCTCCCAAAGTAAATCAGCTGTGAGATTCGTAAACTGCAAATGTGTCAGAGTTGAAAATGTTAGCTCTCTTAATGGAGGCTTGAAAAGGTTAGATCTGATAAAAAGCTGTCAGCCGTCCACAAAAAAATGATTTATAGCAATATAATGGGACAGTATGCCTCATTTCTCCCTCATATGAAATGGGGGTTAAGACTTTTGGGTTTGCTATTATACATCATCTGGCTTGACCACTTGGAAATTTGTTGGGACTTGAATGCACGCACATGCATTATGTTCCATCTGGCTCTTTTGTTTTACTAATTATGAAAGTCAAGGCCTGATGTAATGCGGATAATTTATGTCCTCCCATAATTACCAGCAAAAAATATTCATGCAACAAAAGTACATATCGATTTCCATTCAAATGTGTTTTGCGCAAATGAGATTAGTGCTTGTCCTTTGTTGTATCACTTTTTTGATGCACATAATGGAAGCAAAACTACAATTAATGAGGAAGTCATAACTCTGAAGGCTCTCACCAGACTGTTCCTACAACATCACTAATCTGCTCGCTGACACATTGGCTAATGAATAGACACAAATCTGATTTATGTGATGTTTTATATTAGTTGACACAGCTGCAATTAGACATCTTGAGGTCTTTGTGAACTTTTTCCAATTATATCTGGAACTGTA